TCTGTTCCCCTAAGAACATGATCCACTCATACGTAATCATTCTGTTCCCCTCAGAAACATGATACCACTCATACTGTAGTCATTCTGTTCCCCCACGAACCCCCAAAGGATTTTCCCAACTCCCTACTGTAAGTCCATTCTGTTTTCCCCCTTTAACAACATGATACCACTCATACTGTAAGTCATTCTGTTCCCCCACAAAACACTGATAAACCCCTCTACTGTAAGTCATTCCTGTTCCCCTAGACAACATGATAACACTCATACTGTAAGTCATTCGTTCCCCTACAGACAACATGATACCACTCATACTGTAAGTCATTCTGTTCCCCTACAGACAAAATGATACCCTCATACTGGTAAGTCATTCGTCCCTAACAACAGGGTACCCCTCATCTTAGTCATTTTCCCGTTCCCCTACAGACACATGATACCACCAACTGTAGTCCCTTCTGTTTTTCCTACAGACACATGATACCACTCTACTGTAAGTCATTCTGTTTTCCCCCAAACAACATTATACCACTCAACGTAAGTCTTCGTTCCCCTACAGACAACATGATACCACTCATACTTAAGTCATTCTGTTCCTCCCCTACAAACATGATACCACTCATACTGTAAGTCATTTTGTTCCCTTTCACAAAATATACCACTCATACTGTAAGTCTTCTGTTTCCCTACACAACATATACCCACTCCATACGTAAGTCATTTTTTTCCCCCACAACCCATACCACTCATACTGTAAGTCATATCTGTTCCCCTAAGACAACATGATACCCCTCATACTGTAATCATTCCGTTCCCCTACAGACAAAATGATACCACTCATACTGTAGTCATTCTGTTCCCTATAGACCATGATCCCCTACCTTATTTTTTCCCCTAAAAACATGATACCACTCATAAATGTAAGTCCCTTCCCGTTCCCCTACAGACAACATGAAAAAACCCTCATACTGTAAGTCATTCTGTTTCCCCCCCTACACATGATACCCCTCATACTGTAAGTCATTCTGTTCCCCTTCCCACAACATGATACCACCATACTGTAAGTCATTCTGTTCCCCCCCAGCAACAGATACCACCATACTGTAGTCATTCTGTTCCCCTACAACATGATACCACTCATACTGTAAGTCATTTCTGTTCCCCTAAGACAACTATCCCCCTCCCTACTGTAAGTCATTCTGTTTCCCTAAAAACATTATCCCTCATCTGTAAGTCATTCTGTCCCCTACGACAATTATACCACTCATACTGTAAATCATTCTGTTCCCCTACAGACAGATACCATCTACTGTAAGTCATTCTGTTTCCCCTACAACATATACCACTCATACTGTAAGTCTTCTGTTCCCCTACAGACACATGATACCACTCATACTGTGTCATTCTGTTCCCCTACAGACAACTGATACCACTCATCTGTAAATCATTCGTTCCCCTACAGACATGATAAATTCTACTGTAAGTCATTCTGTTCCCCTACAACAACATGTCCCCCTCATACGTTAAGTCATTCTGTTCCCCTAAGACAACATGAACCACTCATCTGTTAAGTCATTTTTCCCACAGACAACATGTACCACTCATACTTAAGTCATTCTGTTCCCCTACACAAAATAACCTCAATACTGTAAGTCCTTCTGTTTTCCCCCACAGACAACATGAACCACCCATACTGTAAATCATTTTTTTTCCCCTACAACATATACCACTCATACTGTAAGTTCCCTTCTGTTCCCCTAAGCCCAAAATGATACCACTCATACTGTAAGTCATTCTTTCCCCCTACAACCACCATGATAAACCCTCAACTGTAAGTCATTCTGTTTCCCCCCCCCAACAACATGATACCACTCATACTGTAAGTCATTCTGTTCCCCTACAACATGATACCCAAATCATCTGAAATCATTCTGTTCCCCTACAACAACATGAACACTCATACTGTAAAATCATTCTGTTCCCCTAAGACAACATGATACCACTCTACTGTATCATTCTGTTTCCCCTACAACATACCCATTTTAACACTTTCCCCCAAAATGAATCAATTGTCTTTGTTCCCCTAAGACAAAAAAAATCCACTCCCTACTGTAATCCCTTCTTTCTTTTTTCCCTACAACAACATGATACCACTCCCTACTGTAAGTTCATTCTGTTTCCCCTAAACAAAATATACCACTCTACTGTAATATTTTTGTTTCCCCCAAGAAAAATGAACAAAATCATACTGAAGCATTCTTTTCCCCCACAAAACATGAAAACCCCTCAACTGTAATTTATTCCGTTTTCCCTAAACATGATACACTCAATTTTAATTCATTCGTTTTTTTTAAGACAAAAAGAACCCTTTCTGTAGTCTTCTGTTCCCCAAAAACATGATACCACTCCTGTAAAATCTTCTTTTTCCCCAAGACAACATATACCCTCTACTGTAATCATTCTGTTCCCCACAGACAACATTTAAACCCCTCTACTTTAAGTCTTCTGTTCCCCTACAACATGATCCATCAACTTCATTCTGTTCCCCCAAGACAGATCCCCCTCATACTTTCATTCTTTTCCCCTACAGACAAAAATTTTCCATCATACGGGAAAATCCCTTCGTTCCCCTAAAGCAAAAATACCACTCAACTGTAAGTCTTCTGTTCCCCTCCAAAAACATTCCACCATACTGTAGTCATTCTGTTTCCCCCCCCAGACCCCCCAATTGATACCCCCCAAAAAAATCATAACGGTTTTTTTTTTTTTTTTTTTTTTTTTTTTTTTTTTTTTTTTTTTTTTTTTTTTTTTTTTTTTTTTTTTTTTTTTTTTTTTTTTTTTTTTTTTTTTTTTTTTTTTTTTTTTTTTTTTTTTTTTTTTTTTTTTTTTTTTTTTTTTTTTTTTTTTTTTTTTTTTTTTTTTTTTTTTTTTTTTTTTTTTTTTTTTTTTTTTTTTTTTTTTTTTTTTTTTTTTTTTTTTTTTTTTTTTTTTTTTTTTTTTTTTTTTTTTTTTTTTTTTTTTTTTTTTTTTTTTTTTTTTTTTTTTTTTTTTTTTTTTTTTTTTTTTTTTTTTTTTTTTTTTTTTGGGGGGGGGGGGGGGGGGGGGGGGGGGGGGGGGGGGGGGGGGGGGGGGGGGGGGGGGGGGGGGGGGGGGGGGGGGGGGGGGGGGGGGGGGGGGGGGGGGGGGGGGGGGGGGGGGGGGGGGGGGGGCCCCCCCCTTTTTTTTCTGTTTTTTCCCCCATAAACAAAAACCAGAAAAAATTAAAACCCCCCCACTTCCCCCAAATGTAAGGTTTTTTCCCCCCCTTCTTTTTTTTTTCCCTCCCCCCCCTTTTTTTTTTTTTTTTTTTTTTTTTTTTTTTTTTTTTTTTTTTTTTTTTTTTTTTTTTTTTTTTTTTTTTTTTTTTTTTTTTTTTTTTTTTTTTTTTTTTTTTTTTTTTTTTTTTTTTTTTTTAAAAAAAAAAAAAAAAAAAAAAAAAAAAAAAAAAAAAAAAAAAAAAAAAAAAAAAAAAAAAAAAAAAAAAAAAAAAAAAAAAAAAAAAAAAAAAAAAAAAAAAAAAAAAAAAAAAAAAAACCTACCACCCCCCCCCTGAAAAAAATCCACCATACTGTAAAAAAGGGTCCCCCCTTTGATACCACCAAAATCATTTTTTCCCTCGCTTAAAACCCAATGTAATCACTTTTCCCCATCCCCTTTTCCCTCAACTGTAACACTGTTCCCCTCAACAACAATAACCACACTGTAATCATTCTGTTCCCCTACAGAAAAATATACCCCCCCTGTAAGTCTTGTTCCCCTAAAAAACATGATACCCTCATACTGAAGCTTTTCCCCTCGTTATTTTTTTTTTTTCCCCCCCCAAAAACCCAAAATCTTTCTTTTCCCCTACAGCAACATGATACCTCTAGGAAATCTTGTTCCCCTGGGGGCCCCCATCTAAAAATTTTTCCCCCCGAAAAATTCCCATTCCTTTGTTTTTCCCCACAAAAATACCATATACTGTAAGTTTTCTGTTCCCCTTAAAAAGTCCCTCTTTGAAAGTCTTTTTCCCCCTAAAAAAAACATTACCCTTTTAAAAGCTTTCGTTCCCCTTCAACAACATTTTCCCTCCATACTGTAAGTCCATTCTGTCCCCTACAGACAACATGATACCACTCATACTGTAAGTCATTCTGTTCCCTACAGCATGATACCACCATACTGTAGTCATTTGTTCCCCTATAGACAAACATGATACCACTCAACTGTAAGTCATTCTGTTCCCTACAGACAACATGATAACACTCATACTGTAAGTCATTCTGTTCCCCTATAGACAACATGATACCACTCATACTGTAGTCATTCTGTTCCTACAAGACACATGTACCACTCATACTGTAAGTCATTCTGTTCCCCTACATACAACATGATAACCACTCATACTGTAAGTCATTCTGTTCCCCTACGACAACATGATAACACTCATACTGTAAGTCATTCTGTTCCCCTACAGACAACATGATACCACTCATACTGTAAGTCATTCTGTTCCCCTACAGACTGATACCACTCATACTGTAAGTCATTCTGTTCCCCTACAGACAACATATACCACTCATACTGTAAGTCATTCTGTTACCCTACGACAACATGAACCACTCATACTGTAAGTCATTCTGTTCCCCTACAGACAACATGATACCACTCATACTGTAAGTCATTCTGTTCCCCTACAGACAACATGATACCACTCATACTGTAAGTCATTCTGTTCCCCTACAGACAACATGATACCACTCATACTGTAAGTCATTCTGTTCCCCTACAGACATGATACCACTCATACTGTAAGTCATTCTGTTCCCCTACAGACAACATGATACCACTCATACTGTAAGTCATTCTGTTCCCCTTCAGACAACATGATACCACTCATACTGTAAGTCATTCTGTTCCCCTACATACAACATGATACCACTCATACTGTAAGTCATTCTGTTCCCCTTCAGACAACATGATACCACTCATACTGTAAGTCATTCTGTTCCCCTATAGACAACATGATACCACTCATACTGTAAGTCATTCTGTTCCTCTACATACAACATGATACCACTCATACTGTAAGTCATTCTGTTCCCCTACAGACAACATGTGACACAGGATGTCTTCAAACATGTTTTGGGGCCTGTTCCGATACTTGAATAATTGACTTGCCTTTTGGAGGCGCAGGTTTGGAATGGACATGATTCTGACTTCAGGGATGTAACTCCTTTAGGATTGAAAATTACATCACTTTACTGAGAAATAATACAACAATACCAACAATCAGAGCAGAAAACAAGGTGAATTTGTCCGGTACAGAGGAGATTCTAAGCAATACTTACACAGCCACCAGCTGGATTTTGAACTTTATTGAGGTTGGGTTAAATTCTGGCTTGCTCAGATTGTGCTCACATTTCTAAGAAGAAAAGCAACATTTCTACCATGAGTAATCAAAGATAAATTGCCAGCAAAAGATAACAATAAAATAGTAGTAAAATGCCCTTTCTGAGAAGGGTAGTGTGAAGAACTGTGCCATGTACAGACCCTGCATCGCAGAGAGCGCTTGATCAGCAGGTGTTTGTGTTTGGGGTGGAGCTGAGAGGCTCCGGCAGGCTGGCTGTCAGGCTGCAGCAGCCGCTGACGCAAGGTGGTCACTATAACACACAACACAGACCATGAGGTTAACACAACACAGACCATGAGGTTAACACACAGCACAGACCCTGAGGTTAACACACAACACAGACCCTGAGGTTAACACACAACACAGACCCTGAGGTTAACACACAGCACAGACCATGAGGTTAACACACAGCACAGACCATGAGGTTAACACACAGCACAGACCCTGAGGTTAACACACAGCACAGACCCTGAGGTTAACACACAACACAGACCCTGAGGTTAACACACAACACAGACCCTGAGGTTAACACACAACACAGACCACGAGGTTAACACACAACACAGACCACGAGGTTAACACACAACACAGACCACGAGGTTAACACACACAGCACAGACCAGAGGTTAACACACACACAGACCATGAGTTAACACACACACAGACCATGAGGTTAACACACAACACAGACCATGAGGTTAACACAGACCATGAGGTTAACACACAACACAGACCATGAGGTTAACACACAACACAGACCATGAGGTTAACACACAACACAGACCATGAGGTTAACACCACAACACAGACCATGAGTTAACACAACACAGACCATGAGGTTAACACACATCAGCCAGACCCTGGGTTTAACACAACACCGACCCGAGGTTTAACACACAACACAGACCATGAGGTTAACACAACACAGACCACTGAGGTTAACACAACACAGACCATGAGGTTAACAACACCACAGACCATGAGGTTAACACAACACAGACCATGAGGTTAACACAACACAGACCATGAGGTTAACACAACATGGTCAACCAGGCAAAACAGGGAGGTTAACACAACATGGTCAACCAGGCAACACAGGGAGGTTAACACAACATGGTCAACCAGGCCACACAGGGAGGTTAACACAACATGGTCAACCAGGCCACACAGGGAGGTTAACACAACATGGTCAACTAGACAACACAGGGAGGTTAACACAACATGGTCAACTAGACAACACAGGGAGGTTAACACAACATGGTCAACCAGGCCACACAGGGAGGTTAACACAACATGGTCAACCAGGCAACACAGGGAGGTTAACACAACATGGTCAACCAGGCCACACAGGGAGGTTAACACAACATGGTCAACCAGGCAACACAGGGAGGTTAACACAACATGGTCAACCAGGCAACACAGGGAGGTTAACACAACATGGTCAACCAGGCCACACAGGGAGGTTAACACAACATGGTCAACCAGGCAACACAGGGAGGTTAACACAACATGGTCAACCAGGCAACACAGGGAGGTTAACACAACATGGTCAACCAGACAACACAGGGAGGTTAACACAACATGGTCAACCAGGCAACACAGGGAGGTTAACACAACATGGTCAACCAGGCCACACAGGGAGGTTAACACAACATGGTCAACTAGGACAAACACAGGGAGGTTAACACAACATGGTCAACTAGACAACACAGGGAGGTTAACACAACATGGTCAACCAGGCCACACAGGGAGGTTAACACAACATGGTCAACCAGGCCACACAGGGAGGTTAACACAACATGGTCAACCAGGCAACACAGGGAGGTTAACACAACATGGTCAACCAGGGCCACACAGGGAGGTTAACACAACATGGTCAACCTAGGCAACACCGGGGAGGTTAACACAACATGGTCAACCAGGCAACACAGGGAGGTTAACACAACATGGTCAACCAGGCCACACAGGGAGGTTAACACAACATGGTCAACCAGGCAACACAGGAGGTTACACAACATGGTCAACCAGGCACACAGGGGAGGTTAAAACATGGTCAACCAGGCCACACAGGGAGGTTAACACAACATGGTCAACCAGGCAACACAGGGAGGTTAACACAACATGGTCAACCAGGCAACACAGGGAGGTTAACACAACATGGTCAACCAGGCAACACAGGGAGGTTAACACAACATGGTCAACCAGGCAACACAGGGAGTTAACCCTATCAGAAACCAAAATATAAGCTTGTTTTACTCCAATGTTTTTCAACTATATAAAATGTAAACAGACACTGTATAGCCTCAAAACATGGTTCAAACTATAATCTTGATAACATGGATGGTCAGTACTGGCATCCCATAGCTATGTCTATTAATTTGAGAGTGGTTGCATTTCTCCAGCCCCAATCCCTCAGCTTTTTAGCGAAACGCTTTTTTTATGGTTTCAATTAAGGATTCTAGTTTGTAAAGTAGTGACCATTGTTACCCTCTATAGTGTTCAAGGACAGGGTTTAGGTTTAGGTTTAGGCTTAGGGGTGGTTATCTCTTACCCTCTGGTAGGTTGATAGGTCTGGTGTAGCAGTCTTCAGGCAGTGGCTCCACCTCGTCTAAGGCTTGGGCTGGCTCTATCTTCATCTCCTTCTGGTCTTCACCTTCCTTCAGACTGGAACAGGGACAGACACAGTGAAGGTCATTATAGGAGACAGTGACAGACACGGTGAAGGTCATTATAGGAGACAGGGACAGACACGGTGAAGGTCATTATAGGAGACAGGGACAGACACGGTGAAGGTCATTATAGGAGACAGGGACAGACACAGTGAAGGTCATTATAGGAGACAGGGACAGACACGGTGAAGGTCAGTATAGGAGACAGGGACAGACACAGTGAAGGTCATTATAGGAGACAGGGACAGACACGGTGAAAGTCATTATAGGAGACAGGGACAGACACAGTGAAAGTCATTATAGGAGACAGGGACAGACACAGTGAAGGTCATTATAGGAGACAGGGACAGACACGGTGAAAGTCATTATAGGAGACAGGGACAGACACAGTGAAGGTCATTATAGGAGACAGGGACAGACACAGTGAAGGTCATTATAGGAGACAGGGACAGACACAGTGAAGGTCATTATAGGAGACAGGGACAGACACAGTGAAGGTCATTATAGGAGACAGGGACAGACACAGTGAAGGTCATTATAGGAGACAGGGACAGACACAGTGAAGGTCATTATAGGAGACAGGGACAGACACAGTGAAGGTCATTATAGGAGACAGGGACAGACACGGTGAAAGTCATTATAGGAGACAGGGACAGACACAGTGAAGGTCATTATAGGAGACAGGGACAGACACATTTAAAGCCATTATAGGAGACAGGGACAGACACATTTAAAGCCATTATAGGAGACAGGGACAGACACAGTGAAGGTCATTATAGGAGACAGGGACAGACACAGTGAAGGTCATTATAGGAGACAGGGACAGTTGTATTTATGAACTCTAACACATCTCCATGGCTTTATTCCCAAACTGCACCCTATTCAGTGCACTACTTTTGACCAAATAGCCTATACAAAAGTAGTGCACTACATAGGGAATTGGGTGCCATTTGGGACTCAGCCCTTGTATAGGCTATTTGTGATGTGCTAACATGAACAACATGATTTGTTATGTAAATGTACAGTAAAGGAATGGTACAGTACAGTATTACACGAGAGGATGTGATACTCGTACTTTACGGACAATAACGTTCTTGGAATGTCATGTAATACTCACGAAAGACCGGCCAGACTGGCGATAGGAGCTCCAGGCCTCTGTCGCTGTAGTCTGGTACCCAGACCATACTTCTCCTTTATACGGCAGAGCAACACAACGTCAGCTAACTCACAGGCAGACACCACGTGGTAGACTTACGGCAGAGCAACACAACGTCAGCTAACTCACAGGCAGACACCACGTGGTAGACTTATGGGAGAGGAACACCACTGGCATTTCTATTGATGACTGATACATGTTTATGTTTTTCCCTGTACTCTGGGATGGGGAAGCATTTATCAAATAACACATTTTCAAAAATCCAATTAGGAAATCGTTACTAGCATAAATGCCTAAAACAAAATTGTGATCGAAACCAAAGACATAAACCAAATCTAGAGAAAGAATTTGGTTTGAACAACGACACAAACAGAAACCTTTATGTTAGTAGTGGGAGAAGGGAGTTGCTACCCTTTACTATACTACAGGCTAAACCAGCATTAACTGTACATTGCAATAGAATGCATCTGATTGCTTCTCTCCTCCCAGTCAACATAAAGTATCCTATTGTGCTGTTGGTAATATCTTTCGCCTGAGGAGACATTCATGTGATCAGGGAGGTCACTCAGTTACAGATTAGATACGGAGAACTAGAGAGAGAGAGATACGGAGAACTAGAGAGAGAGAGAGATATACGGAGAACTAGAGAGAGAGAGAGATATACGGAGAACTAGAGAGAGAGAGAGATACGGAGAACTAGAGAGAGAGAGAGATACGGAGAATGAGAGAGAGAGAGAGAGAGAGAGAGAGAGAGAGAGAGAGAGAGAGAGAGAGAGAGAGAGAGAGAGAGAGAGAGAGAGAGAGAGAGAACAGTGTTTGACTATCAAAGTTGTACAACTCACCACCACATGAATAGTGTGTTGCTGGGGAGGGAGGGGTTAAAAAGCAACATTTCAGGAAAAGAAGACAAAACAGTGTCAAGTGAAACCAAAGCAGTGAAGCAAACATTTAGTGGCAGGTAACTGGTGACATGCAACAGAAAAGCATCAGTGGTAGAGATGAAGACTCTTTAGTTGCAGTGGCTAGTATATAGCTAGCTAGCACACAGCTAGCAGCTAACTTATAGTGACTCTTCACCAATCACAGGGTCTGAAATCAATGTTTCAGTATGACACAGGTTCTAATCTAAACCAGTGCTTCTGTCCGTACACACGAACTACACATGCATTTCAAATCAATGTCACCATACTAGAACAACATATTACAGTACAAAATGTACGCTATTCAGAAATAGTTCCCTTGTTAAAATTTCAGATCCCACCACCAGCAGGTTAATAACACAGCAGTAAACATCACAACAAAGAAAAGATGAAAAGCATGATGTTTCTCATTATAAAAGGTGGGAGCTGGCCTGTGGTTATTGAGGCAGGTTAACGTGTTCCAGAGATAAGTGCAAAGGCTTAGCATGTTATCTGCCGGAGTGTGTGTGTGTGTGTGTGTGTGTGTGTGTGTGTGTATACCGAGAAGGCCAGCGGCATGTAGGGTCGTCTCCTGGCCAGCTTCTTCCTGTCCCTGTCCAGTTTCTCTCGCTGGGCCAGCTGCTGGTAATACTCTATCAGTTTATTGATCTGGAAGAAAATACCCAACAATACCATGAGTATCTGGAGGAAGAATGCACATACCATGAGTCTGAATGTCATAGGATAGCCCCATGCAGTGCTATTATTCTTACAGAAAGGGGAAATTGTAGGCCAGAGAACCATGTATAGAGGATTTATCATCAGCATACCATGTAAGTTAACAGCAGGAACCCAAATAGTAGAAAGCCAGGTCAAAGCCAACATGTAGGCCTGGAGCCTGTATCAGGAGTGTGCTGTTTGTGGTTGATCACGCCGTGCTTTTTTTTTTTTTTTGTGATACAGCATCAATTACAATAGACTCTATGCAACTTCCAGCGTCACAGCATTCTACAGCCTGGGGTTTGTCTAGCTGAATTGAAGATCAAACCAAAAGGAAGGCAACATACCCGTTGAGTATGAGGGTTCTCAGGCTCCTGCCATCCTCCACTGGCTGAAGTGAAGACCCAAAAAGAAAGAACTTCAACAGTCGTCCAGAAAACACCCAACAAGTCAAATCACACAACAGACAGGTAGGCTACTAGTGCACACGTCTACATGATATGGGACAGATCTCTATTCAGAGTAACAATTCCAAGCAAAGCTCCATACATACAAGATATGAATTCGTTCTGCATTTGAACCATTCTAACATGGCCTATTATCAATTGTCAGTTCAATATCTCCCCCTCGTCACCCGTGCAGGGGGGCACTTCCTTCAGTAGCTTAGTAACTATGATCACTAGCAAGGTTTGCTATTTGATTTGGTTGAAGCCACTTCTCACACTCACCCAGCCACGGAATAGTTGGCCCCCACGCCTAACATTGGCCCAATATAAAAAGTAAATAGTCAACAGTCCAATATCGGCCCCCCTCATCATCAACAGTGAGGTAGGCCTGGCACTCACCCACAGACTTGTCAGCCATGCCCACGTCTCTGGATGTCCAGCGACAGAAGCCACAGGCCAGGTAGTAGGCCTTCTTCATGGTCGTCTTGCTGGGGTCGTCAGGAAGAGGGGCTGGGATGTTGGTTGCCCGGGTGGACAGAGTGTGCATGCAGCATGGGCAGTCGAAGCAGTTGGCACACCTGGGGCACGCAGAGGAAGGAGGTATAGCTAGTTAGAACAAAGGTAGTTTGTATTCAACCGGAAGAAATAAATCGCAGTACTCTGACCCAATGCTAGCTTTTATGGCTTTCCTTAACCCTGACCTCACGTAAACTAGGCTACACCTAACCTTAATATAACCGTAGACACCATAGAATTACATATAGAATAGTGATGGGGGAAAAATCTATAGTTACATATCAGGATATTAATCCCTGGCAACTTCAAACCTAACCTTAACCCTAAACTTAATCTCTATGCCTAACCTGAAGTTTTCTTTCAGCTGGTTGAATATCCTCTTCCTAGAACAAAACAGATAGCTGGGAAATGTAGGCTGGATGCAGTGAGAAGTCATGCAGTGAACATTGTCAATGGCTACACAGTAAGGTATAGGTCTATGCCATAGACCGTATATAACAGGTCTATGCTGATTCTCAGTTGAAAATGTTTCTCACCTGTTCTTCTTCAGCTTTGCCTCTGCTGAAGGCATATTCTCCAGGCAGCTTGGACAGTAATGCGAGTCCACCTGGAAACCAAACAGAGGCGGCATTCAACAATCTATGTTAGTGGGAATACATGAATGTGCATAGCTATCCCTCGTAGCTAGCTAGTAGTTATAACTGCACAAATAGTCATTATGATTCAGCATGAACCGGTATCTGTGCGTTAGAGACCTCACAGATACCGGTTCAGCTTCAGTAATAAAAGTGTGAGTTTCTGTGGGCGAGGGTCACTGTCCGTTGTGTGGCTGTGTAAGTTCAGAATCGAAGCTGTCTGACGTGGCATGTGTGAAAATAGATTATAACTAAATAGCTACAAAAAGCTAGATACCTAAATAAGATGTTTCACAAGAATAAAATAAAAAAACTCAAAAAGCTGTTTGTTAGATCTGAGACCGCACTGTGGTCGCTCTGTCTGGGTGTGGTGATGAATAGCGTACGTTAGCCAGCTAACAGCAGACTAGTTAACTAGGAGGCTGTGAAACTAACAATTAAAAACGTTTTTCAAACGGTTGTTGGGTTTTAGTTGTATTTCCAGTGGGAATTTGTGTCACTGTTAATAGGAGTAAAAGAAACTCATAGTGAACACCGACCAAATAAACACTGTATGATTATGTTGTTTGGCAAGCTGTCTCGCTTGATTGCTAACAGTTAACTTAGGTCGCTAGATAAAACGTACACAATTATGAAAGTAGCTAGATAAAACGTACTCAATTATGAAAGTAGGACGGAAGTAAAGACGGCTACGGCCAATCAGACGACAGAGTTGTTGAATAAATATTGATTGGCGTGCGGTATGACAAATAATAAATAAATAAAATATTGTACGGGGGGGGGGGGCTGGACTAGGTTGACCAAACTCTCCCAAACCGCTAACGCTGCGGAGCTAGCTAGATATCTCTACGATAGCAATAGCTAGCCACAGTAGTGTTGACATTTGGGTCGCTTACCTCGTGAGACACACATTCTAAGGAACGTAATTCACTGCAATACCGGCAAAAATAAAGCGTAGACAACGGAGAACGGATCTTTTTCTCTCCGTGAACTAGGTAAAGGACCCTGTCAGGCTGCAGAAGAGACGCCATCTCTGACTGATCCTCTTACGTCGACGTCGCCTACTGTTGTCGTTTGCTCGACGCTGCCCCCAGGTGGTGGGATATGATATATGGACATTTTGGAGAGGTGCAGTTTTATTTTAAACCGACAGGGGGCAAGCTTTGGTCCATGCATATGCATATGTGATGCTTTGTTGTTGTGGCAACCACCAACCATGACGGGAAATCGCGGTTCCTTCAATAAATTCTTTTGTGTGTGATGTCTTGGTTTACCGGTCTAAGCTTGCTAACAAACCTAAATGTTGAACAAAACAAGTTACCGGGTGCAATGCGTAGCCGCCACAAGTATGCTAGTTTACACGCTAGTTGTCTTGCTAATTTACCAAGTCTGTTGACTTTGTTCTACTATTTATGTTTGCGCGAAAACATTAGCTAGCTAGGCTAACTTTTGTGAGGCTGCAGCTATTTGAAGATGGAGCTTCCAAGGAAATCTGCTCCAGTGGAGATGGAAGTGAGAAGGTCGACCCCTCTTAGAAAAAAAATAAGAGCACGTCTGTAGAGGTGGGTGATTTTGAATTTATTGAGTTAGCTTTTCCGCCTTCCTCTCTCTTCCTCATCCGACTTTTCATAGCCACGTAGCTAACTAGCTTTGCACTGTACGCAGAGCGAGAGTACAGCACGTTCAGCGGATTTGATTGTACCTGGCTGCGATAAACACCTGGTAAGTTTAGCTAGATAACTAACTAACGTTATCTAGCTAAAATCCTTGAATATAAATTGAAATCTTAGTTGAATCACTATATTAGACGCCAGGTTTGCAAGATTAGTAATAATGACTTCCTGACATTGTGTTTGATCCTCATCTTGCTTTGAAAGCTAGGCAATAGTTTCCCTTCGAGTTTCTAACTTCGTTTCTGTTGGATCAGACTGGTCTCATAGCCTAGACGTAACATAGTAAACTAAAGCCGGGACACTCAAAATAGTATGAAATGTTATGTTTAGTATGGTTACAAGATTTACATTTACGTCATTTAGCAGACGCTCTTATCCAGAGCGATTTGCAGGAGCAATAAGGGTTAAGTGCCTTGCTCAAGGGCACATCGACAGATGTTTCACCTAGTCGGCTCAGGGATTAGAACCAGCGACCTTTCGGTTACTGGCACAACGCTCTTACCCACTAAGCTACCTGCCGCCCTAGATGGAAGGTTACTTGAGGTTAAAGCTAAAGGAAGGTGGGTGGGTGTAACGCGAACGTCTAGCAATCCAAAGGTTGCTTGTTCGAATCCCATCACAGACAACTGTAGCTTATTAGCAACTAACTTTACTACTACTTTGTAACTACTTTGTAACTACTTAGCATGTTAGCTAACCGTAACCCCTTTAGCTAACCCTTCCCGCTAACTCCTAACCTTAAAACCTAACGTTAACCAGCTAGTTAGCGTTAGCCCCTTAGCTGACGTTAACCACAACTAATACGTTTAGCAAATTCGTAACATATGATACGTTATGCAAATTCGTAACATATTGTATGTTTTGGCAATTTGTAACATAACATATCATACAAAATGGATGATGGACATCCACAAATTAACACATACTCGAGTACTATTTGAGAAGGTGAGGTCACACAAATGGCCTAGGTGGTAGTTTATCACCGTAGTAACAAACCCCCAACTCACGACCCCGAACTGTTCACACTCCTCTTCTTGGCGGAGAGAAAATGTTGCACTTTTAAAGCAAATTTCCTGCAATTCTACGCATTCTTCCACGTCTTATATGTGTTTATATGATACCAGGGGTCAAAGCCCGACTTAGTAAGAAGTAAAAAATAAATGTTATTTTATTCCCGGGACCCCGCGGTCCGTATTGACCCCGTTCTGGGTCCGGATCCGGTCCGTGGTCAGCCAGTTGAGTATGGGGCCATAGGACATCCACAAATTAACACATTCCATACGAAACGTAACATGTCATACTAAATGGAGTGTCTCGGATTTACATACAGAATAATACGAAATGCTCTGAGACCAGGTTGGTTGTATCCATTGGAACTAGGAGTTGCAGCGATGTTAAGTAATGTGCAAATGACCACCGACTTGATTGTGTGACTCATCCTAGGATACAGAGGAAGATAGAGAAGAGTTTCAGAACAAAGTTATGATGGATGATGACGCCACCACGAAGCGCTCTGGGGACTCCCACCTGGAAGTGATGGTGGGTTTTAACCATAGACCTATAGGTTTTTTTGTTGTTGTTCTTGCTCTGTATAATTTAGCCTACTCCTCACAGGAAATGAAAACATTTACAGCTCTATGACGGTGTCTTGATTTAAAGTTATTTTCTTACTGTTTGCATGAAAGAAACTGTAGTGAAGACACTTTTAAACGTTGGCATTGTCCTGTATGATCTACTCCTCACGTCAAATGAAATCATACATGTCTTTTAGGGTGTGTTGATCATTTGCTCTCTGTTACTTTGCGTGATGAAACTGTAGATAGGACACTGTGAAATTAATCATCATTTTAAATGAAAATACTTGTACACTGCGCTTGTCCCTGTCACCGTTTTATTATCTATGATATCTTCAAATTATTCACACACACACCTGCAACAAGCAACCTAAGATGAGTGAGTGTTTTTCCTATTTTAAACAACTGTTAATTTCTGACATTCTCTCCATTCCTGACCCGGGGGGGGAAATGATTTTGAAACAGGAGACTGTGAGTTTGAACCACGAGGAAGAAGAAAAAGAAGATGCACGCAGAAACAAACAACAACACGCCTCTCGAATTCCTGCTTTTCACAAAACCTTAGCCAAAAAAACGCCCTACCGCCACCAGCAGCAGTCAAAGCTCAGATCCACCTGCCCCGTCTATTACCAGAACAGAGTCTTCTAACCAGGCATCCTCAACAAGCAGCAGTGGAGAGATGTCAAGATCAAAAACTGCCCAGCATTAGAGAAACAGGTCTCCCTCTTCCTACAGTGCGTCTACATAAACTCAACCCTCAGACCCTGTCTCATGCTGTTAGCTCCCCAGAGCAAAGCCCCAGCTCTCTGGATGTTATTCCAGCTGAAGGGCATCAGGAGCAGCTCCATCCCATGACAGCAACCCCTAGACCGGCCCTCAGGGCCGAAGCAGGGGACTATGATGACCCAATTGAGACATCCCTCACCACCACTGAAACTGCACAGGAAGACACTGAGGAAGAGTTTGAGGCTGAGGTTAGAATGGGATAGTGGCGACATCTCCTCCGGTCATGCTGAAAAGGAATCCCTAGAGATAGTTGAAGGTGAGGAGGACGAGACCGATCTGAATCAGTCTGATGATGATGGTGATGATGATGAGGAGGAAACTCCCTGTGAGGCTGAGGCCATGGAGATTGAGTTTCTATTAGAAGAGGATGGATATGGGTTGGACTCCCCATTGCGGGAGGAGAAGGAGCTTGAGGAGCCCAGTGTTGAGACTGAGAGCTTCAGTGAATCTGAGGTTGTTAGTGAGAATCGAGACAAGTCCGCCAACGAGGAGAAGGTTTCTGAAAAATGGTCCAAAAACCCAGAGGATACAACCGACGCTGGTACCTCAGTCCCCTCGCCCAGAGCAGTGCCTCAGAGAACAACTAGATCCAGTCAGTCGAACAAGGTAAGGCGTCTAGATATCAGGTTTTTCTCCTGCTATTACCCATCTTGGTAAGCCACAATAATCTGTGTTGTATTTATTGTCTGCAATTGTATATGTCCTTCGTCTGTGCTTGTTTGTTTTGAATGTAGGCTATGCACAGAGCCACAAACAGAATGATCCCATGGGGATAATAGTCATTGTCTTATTTTAGTAGGCTAATCTTAATGACGTACAAACATCTTAGCGTCCTAATCTTAATGACGTACAAACATCTTAGCGTCCTAATCTTAATGACGTACAAACATCTTAGCGTCCTAATCTTAATGACATACAAACATCTTAATGTCCTAATCTTAATGACATACAAACATCTTAGCGTCCTAATCTTAATGACATACAAACATCTTAGCATCCTAATCTTAATGACGTACAAACAATCCCATATTCCTTCTTGTAATAGTTATCTTGATCTGTTCTCTTTCTCATGTTTAAATCTCACTCTTCAATTTGTAGACATCGTGGTGCTGGAGCTTCGCACTATTCTGCCTTTTCCCCTCCACTCTGCTTGTGATTGGGGGACTGGGTCAACACGTCTGGCATTATGGGATGCCTCTGTCATTGTCACAGTTGATGGGACAGTTGGAGCTGCACTGGCTGGAGGGACTGTGGTTGCAACACGAGCCTTGTAACTCAGATTGTCGGTGAGAAAAGTGTTACAGAAGATAATTGTAACCTTTTTGTTTGACCCTTCACAAATCTATTCACATGTTTATATGTAATTTTATAAGTAATGCATTGTTTCACAGCTTTTGGTGGATGGTGGGACGGAGGACAGATCTAGATTCATTAGAAAATATTTTAGTCCCAAATGGCACCCTATTGTCTACATAGTGCAGTGCTTTTGACCTTTAACCCTATGGGTGGCTCTGGTCCAAAGCAGAGCGCCATCTAGTGGCTCTGGTCAAAAGCAGAGCGCCATCTAGTGGCTCTGGTCAAAAGCAGAGCGCCATCTAGTGGCTCTGGTCAAAAGCAGAGCGCCGTCTAGGGAATAGGGTGCCATTTGGGACGCAGCCATGGGTTTGTCACCGTTGGCATCATCTACCACAGTGTTTGACGTGGTCATTAGGAAGGGTTTGAGCATATTGAGATGTCCAGTCTCTCAAAGAGCGACTGTCTTTTAAAAAGCAACAAATCCCTTTGAAAACTGTATTTTTAAAAAGCAACAAATCCCTTTGAAAACTGTCTTTAACAAGCAACAAATCCCTTTGAAAACGGCCTATGCGGCATTGATATGAGTCAGAAACAGTTATTGACTACAAAGTGTAAAAGGATCATTTTGGTCAGAAAGTCAGTCTTGTCTAAAACGGAGCTTGGAACATCTATGCGTCACAACGGGTAAATTTAAGGTTGGGTTTTGATTTGACGATGTCCATTTGCCCACTAACATGGGGTGAACAGCTGCAGTGATTGCTCTCTATCCAATAGCAGCTCTGAATATTTACATAAAACAACACGTCGCAATAATGCACCGAACACCTCGGTTGAATGTAAAATTAACACAACTTAAACATCCTCAACAAAAACGTTAACTCAAGAAATCTGTAACTCAATTATATCTTAGATTCATTCTGGGGATTTTGAGGACTGTGAAATAGGCTTCCGTGTCTCATGGGGTACAAACATCTTTAACCAAACGCGGAATCGGTCAGGAAAAGCACCTCCTCCACGACTGAAATCTCGTTTTTCTAAAGAGCAACAGCAAAACACATGAGCCAATCATAGCTGGGTCTGTAAACTCCTCCCACCACAGAACCTGTCTGGTTCACCACCAGCCCAACGCCTGCAGTTGGAGGTTACTGTGTTCACCCAGTACAAGAATAGTCAATTGCAGGTCACTAGCCTGCTTCCACTTCTCTTTGTGCTGGACAGCTAACTCCTGTACAGCACAAACTGATCTGGGACCAGGCTAGCAGGTCATCCTCGTGTCATAATGTCTTAAGTCTGGACAATGAAGTTGAAGGTGTCAATGAGTCTTGTGTGAACCAGGTCCAGTGAGTCGTGATGTGCAGTACCTATATAGACGACTATGTCTGTCACCATGTACTTGGCATGGTTCACTCTTGAGAAAGGCATCTTCTTCTGCTCTGCTCAACATGGCGCCGGAGGGAGATGGCTGCCGTTTTTACGGCCCTCTAACCATATTATACTATTATGTGTGTTTTTTCACGTTATTTGTAATTTGTTCTGTACATAATGTTTCTGCCACTGTCTATTATGACCAAACAGAGCTTCTGGATATCAGGACAGCGATTACTCTCCTCGTATTGGACAAATATTTTTTTTCTTCAACGAGTCGGAGGGGAAGGATATCCTACAGACGCCCGACATGGTCCAAATCCCCGTCATTCGCATGAGAAAGAGACGGAGATATCGTGGACGTAGGTCGGGGTGCCTTGTAAGGATCCGACGGCGAGCGAGTAAACTGCCTCTTCCATCAATCCTATTAGCCAATGTTCAATCATTTGAGAACAAATTGAATGACCTAAGATTACGGTTATCCTACCAACGGGACATTAAAAACTGTAATATCTTATGTTTCACCGAGTCGTGGCTGAACGACGACATGGACAACATACAGCTAGCGGGCTATACGCTACATCGGCAGGATAGAACGGCTGACTCCGGTAAGACAAGGGGTGGCGGTCTGTGTATATTTGTAAACAACAGCTGGTGCATAAAATCTAATACTAAGGAAGTCTCGAGGTTTTGCTCGCCTGAGGTAGAGTATCTTATGATAAGCTGTAGACCACACTATTTACCAAGAGAGTTTTCATCTATATTTTTTGTAGCTGTCTATTTACCACCACAAACCAATGCTGGCACTAAGACCGCACTCAATGAGCTGTATAAGGCCATAAGCAAACAGGAACACGCTCATCCAGAGGCAGCGCCCCTAGTGGCCGGGGACTTTAATGCAGGGAAACTTAAATCCGTTCTACCTAATTTCTACCAGCATGTTAAATGTGCAGCCAGAGGAAGAAAAAACTCTAGACCACCTTTACTCCACACACAGAGACACATACAAAGCTCTCCCTCACCCTCCATTTGGCAAATCTGACCATAACTCTATCCTCCTGATTCCTGCTTATAAGCAAAAATTAAAGCAGGAAGGACCAGTGACTCGTTTAATAAGGAAGTGGTCAGATGACGCAGATGCTAAGCTACAGGACTGTTTTGCTAGCACAAACTGGAATATGTTCCGGGATTCTTCCGATAGCATTGAGGAGTACACCACATCAGTGACTGGCTTCATCAATAAGTGCATCGATGACATCGTCCCCACAGTGACCGTACGTACATACCCCAACCAGAAGCCATGGTTTACAGGCAACATCTGCACTGAGCTAAAGGGTAGAGCTGCCGCTTTCAAGGAGCGGGACTCTAACCCGGACGCTTATAAGAAATCCCGCTATGCCCTCCGACAAACCATCAAACAGGCAAAGAGTCAATACAGGACTAAGATTGAATCGTACTACACCGGCTCCGACGCTCGTCGGATGTGCAGAGCTTGAAAGCTATTACAGACTACAAAGGAAAGCACAGACGTGAGCTGCCCAGTGACACAAGCCTACCAGACGAGCCAAATCACTTCTATGGTCGCTTCGAGGCAAGCAACACCTGAAGCATGCATGAGAGCATCAGCTGTTCCGGATGACTATGTGATCACACTCTTCGTAGCCGATGTAAGACTTTTAAGCAGATCAACATTCACAAGGCCGCAGGGCCAGACGGATTACCCGGACGTGTACTCAGAGCTTGCGCTGATCAACTGGCAAGTGTCTTCACTGACATTTTCAACATGTCCCTGACTGAGTCTGTAATACCAACATGTTTCAAGCAGACCACCATAGTCCCTGTGCCCAAGAACACTAAGATAACCTGCCTAAATGACTACTGACCCGTAGCACTCACGTCTGTAGCCATGAAGTGCTTTGAAACGCTGGTCATGGCTCACATCAACACCATTATCCCAGAAACCCTAGACCCACTCAATTTGCGTACTGCCCCAACAGATCCACAGATGATGCAATATCTATTGCACTCCACACTGCCCTTTCCCACCTGGACAAGAGGAACACCTACGTGAGAATGCTATTCATTGACTACGGCTCAGGGTTCAACACCATAGTGCCCTCAAAGCTCATCACTAAGCTGGGACTAAACACCTCCCTCTGCAACTGGATCCTGGACTTCCTGAAGGGCCGCCCCCAGGTGGTAATGGTAGGTAGTCCCCTGTAGCTCAGTTGGTAGAGCATGGCGCTTGCAACGCCAGGGTTGTGGGTTCATTTCCCACGGGGGGCCAGTATGAAAATGTATGCACTCACTAACTGTAAGTCGCTCTGGATAAGAGTGTCTGCTAAATGACTAAAATGTAAAAATGTAACAACACATCTGCCACGCTGATCCTCAACACGGGGGCCCCTCAGGGGTGGGTGCTCAGTCCCCTCCTGTACTCCCTGTTCACCCATGACTGTATGGCCAGGCACGACTCCTACACCATCATTAAGTTTGCCGACGACACAACAGTGGTAGGCCTGATCACAGACAACGATGAGACAGCCTATAGGGAGGAGGTCAGAGACCTGGCCGTGTGGTGCCAGGATAACAACCTCTCCCTCAACGTGATCAAGACAAAGGAGATGATTGTGGACTACAGGGAAAAAAAGAGGACTGAGCACGCCCCCATTCTCATCGACGGGGCTGTAGTGGAACAGGTTGAGTGCTTCAAGTTCCTTGGTGTCCACATCACCAACGAACTATCATGGTCCAAACACACCAAGACAGTCGTGAAGAGGGCACGACAAAGCCTATTCCCCCTCAGGAGACTGAAAAGATTTGGCATAGGTCCACAGATCCTCAAAAAGTTCTACAGCTGCACCATCGAGAGCATCCTGACTGGTTGCATCACCGCCTGGTATGGCAGCTGCTCGGCCTCAGACCGCAAGGCACTACAGAGGGTAGTGCGTACGGCACAGTACATCACTGGGGCCAAGCTTCCTGCCATCCAGGACCTCTATACCAGGCGGTGTCAGAGGAAGGCCCTAAAAATTGTCAAAGACTCCAGCCAGCCTAGTCATAGACTGTTCTCTCTGCTACCACACGGCAAGCGGTACCGGAGCACCAAGTCTAGGTCCAAAAGGCTTCTCAACAGTTTCTACCCCCAAGCCATAAGACTCCTGAACAGCTGATCATGGCTACCCGGACTATTTGCACTGACCCCCCACCCCACCCGCGCTTTTACGCTGCTGCTACTCTGTTTATTATCTATGCCTAATCACTTTAACTCTGCCCACATGGACATATTACCTCGATTAACCGGTGCCCCCGCCGCACATTGACTCTGCACCGGTACCCCCCTGTATATAGCCTCCCTACTGTTATTTTATTTTACTGCTGCTCTTTAATTATTTGCTTTTTTTATTTTTTACTTATCTATTTTGTACTTAACTGCATTTAACTTAATTGTTGGTTAAGGGCTGTAAGTAAGCATTTCACTTTAAGGTCTACACCTGTTGTATTCGACACAAAACAAAAATTTGAATTGATGGCATCTCAAACACTTTCTGTAGGAAGAATCATGGAAATGTCTCCAGTCCACAGTGACCCACTCTGTTGTTGCCTGTTTGTTCTATCAACCAATCAATCAATCACATTTTATTTGTTACATGAAATGCTTACTTACAGGTCCGTTTCCAACAATGCAGAGTTAAAGATAAGATTTTAAAGAAATGCATTTGGAAAGTATTCAGACCCCTTGACTTGTTCCACATTTCTTTACGTTACAGCCTTATTCTAAAATTGATTAAATAAATAAAATCCCCTCAACAATCTACACACAATACCCCATAATGACAAAGCGATAACAACTTTTTACATTTATTACAAATAAAAAAACGTATTACTTATTTACATAAGTATTCAGACCTTTTGCTATGAAACTCAAAATTGAGCTCAGGTGCATCCTGTTTCCTTTGATCATCCTTGAGATGTTTCTACAACTTGATTGGAGTCCACCTGTGATAAATGAAATTGATTGGACATGATTTGGAAAGGAACACACCTGTCTATATAAGGTCCCACAGTTGACAGTGGATGTCAGAGCAAAAACCATGCCATGAGGTCGAAGGAATTGTCCGTAGAGCTCCGAGACAGGATTGTGTCGAGGCACAGATCTGGGGAATGGTACCAAAAAAATTCTGCAGCATTGAAGATCCCCAAGAACACAGTGGAACCACCAAGACTCTTCCTAGAGCTGGCCTCCCGGCCAAACTGAGCAATCGGGGGAGAAGGGACTTGGTCAGAGAGGTGACCAAGAACCAGATGGTCACGCTGCCAGAGCCCCAGAGTTCCTCTGTGGAGATGGGAGAACCTTCCAGAAGGACAACAATCTCTGCAGCACTCCACCAATCAGGCCTTATGGGAGAGTGGCCAGACGGAAGCCACTCCTCAGTAAAAGGCACATGACAGCCCGCTTGGAGTTTGCCAAAAGGTACCTAAGGACTCTCAGACCATTAGAAACAAGATTCTCTGGTCTGGTGAAACCAAGATTGAACTCTTTGGCCTCAATGCCAAGCATCACATCTGGAGGAAACCTGGCACCATCCCTACGGTGAAGCATGGTGGTGGCAGGATCATGCTGTGAGGCTGTTTTTCAGCGGCAGGGACTGGGAGACTAGTCAGGATCGAGGGAAAGATGAACAGAGCAAAGTACAGAGAGTTCCTTGATGAAAACCTGCTCCAGAGCGCTCAGGACCTCACACTGGGGCGAAGGTTCACCTTCCAACAGGACAACGACTCTAAGCACACAGCCAAGACAATGCAGGAGTGGCTTCGGGACAAGTCTCTGAATGTCCTTGAGTGGCCCAGCCAGAGCCCGGACATGAACCTGATCGAACATCTCTGGAGAGACCTGAAAATAGCTGTGCAGTGACGCTCCCCATCCAACCTGAGAGCTTGAGAGGAACTGCAGAGAAGAATGGGAGAAACTCCCCAAATACAGATGTGCCAAGCTTGTAGCGTCATACCCAAGAAGACTCGTTGCTGTAATCGCTGCCAAAGGTGCTTCAACAAAGTACTGATTAAAGGGTCTGAATACTTATGTAAATGTTATATTTCAGTTATTTTTGTATTTCTATTTTTGTAAAAAATTTAGTTTAAATAAAAAACTGTTTTTGCTTTGCCGTTATGGGGTGTTGTGTGTAGATTGAGGGGGGAAAAAACGATTTAATCAATTTTAGAATAAGGCTGTAACGTAACAAAATGTGGAAAAAGTCAAGGGGTCTGAATACTTTCCAAATGCACTGTAGGAGGGGTATAGTGACTAGCAGCAGCGTATGTGGTGAAGGTGTGGTGTACCCCCCTGTATATATAGCCTCCCTACTGTCACTTTATTTTACTGTATATATAGCCTCCCTACTGTCACTTTATTTTTCTTCTGCTCTTTTTTTTCTCAACACTTTTTTTGTTGTTGGTTTATTTTTACTTTTTTTGTTTAAAATAAATGCACTGTTGGTTAAGGGCTGTAAGTAAGCATTTCACTGTAATGTCTGCACCTGTTGTATTCGGCGCATGTGACCAATAAAATTTGATTTGATTTGATTTGTGTGTGTGTTGTGTGTGTGGGTATAGAGTCCAGTGTGTGTGCATAGTCATAGAGAGTTAGTGTAAAAAAGGGCGTGTGACTGGAGCACTTCTATAGTCCTAATAGAATTGGCATGTGACTGGAGCACTGCTGTAGTCCTAATAGAATTGGCATGTGTCTGGAGCACTGCTGTAGTCCTAATAGAATTGGCATGTGTCTGGAGCACTGCTGTAGTCCTAATAGAATTGGCATGTGTCTGGAGCACTGCTGTAGTCCTAATAGAATTGGCATGTGTACTCCTGAGTGGCGCAGTGGTCTAAGGCAGTGCTAACTGTGCCACTAGAGATCCTGGTTCGAATCCAGGCTCTGTCGCAGCCGGCCGTGACCGGGAGACTCATGGGCGGCGCACAATTGGCCCAGCGTCTCAGGGTAGGGGAGGGAATGGCCGGCAGGGATGTAGCTCAGTTGATAGAGCATGGCGTTTGCAACGCCAGGTTGTGGTTCGATTCCCACGGGGGCCAGTATATAAAAAAAAAATGTAATCACTAACTGTAAGTCGCTCTGGATAAGAGCGTCTGCTAAATGACTAAAATGTAAATGTAAATGTGTCTGGAGCACTGCTGTAGTCCTAATAGAATTGGCATGTGACTGGAGCACTGCTGTAGTCCTAATAGAATTGGCATGTGTCTGGAGCACTGCTGTAGTCCTAATAGAATTGCTCTAAGAGGACCAATACAATTGTTTGAATTGAATTGCTAAATGTTTTTCTCTTCTCTAATCAGTGTGAGCCTGGTGGAGAGCGTCCCTGAAGGCCTATTCTACCCACCGGATTCCTCATCCCTGCCGAGCATCTCTGAGACATGGACTAACCTACTGACCAGGGCCAACCGCTCTGTGGACATAGCTGCTTTCTACTTCACCCTCCGAGACACTGACCTGGGACTCACAGAGCCTAGTGCTGTACAGGTAGGAGGACACTGACCTGGGACTCACAGAGCCTAGTGCTGTACAGGTAGGAGGACACTGACCTGGGACTCACAGAGCCTAGTGCTGTACAGGCAGGAGGACACTGACCTGGGACTCACAGAGCCTAGTGCTGTACAGGTAGGAGGACACTGACCTGGGACTCACAGAGCCTAGTGCTGTACAGGTAGGAGGACACTGACCTGGGACTCACAGAGCCTAGTGCTGTACAGGTAGGAGGACACTGACCTGGGACTCACAGAGTCTAGTGCTGTACAGGTAGGAGGACACTGACCTGGGACTCACAGAGTCTAGTGCTGTACAGGTAGGAGGACACTGACCTGGGACTCACAGAGCCTAGTGCTGTACAGGTAGGAGGACACTGACCTGGGACTCACAGAGCCTAGTGCTGTACAGGTAGAAGGACACTGACCTGGGACTCACAGAGCCTAGTGCTGTACAGGTAGTAGGACACTGACCTGGGACTCACAGAGTCTAGTGCTGTACAGGTAGAAGGACACTGACCTGGGACTCACAGAGCCTAGTGCTGTACAGGCAGGAGGACACTGACCTGGGGCTCACAGAGCCTAGTGCTGTACAGGTAGGAGGACACTGACCTGGGACTCACAGAGCCCAGTGCTGTACAGGCAGGAGGACACTGACCTGGGACTCACAGAGCCCAGTGCTGTACAGGTAGGATGACACTGACCTGGGGCTCACAGAGCCTAGTGCTGTACAGGTAGGAGGACACTGACCTGGGACTCACAGAGCCCAGTGCTGTACAGGTAGGAGGACACTGACCTGGGACTCACAGAGCCCAGTGCTGTACAGGTAGGAGGACACTGACCTGGGACTCACAGAGCCCAGTGCTGTACAGGTAGGAGGACACTGACCTGGGACTCACAGAGCCTAGTGCTGTACAGGTAGGAGGACACTGACCTGGGACTCACAGAGCCTAGTGCTGTACAGGTAGGAGGACACTGACCTGGGACTCACAGAGCCTAGTGCTGTACAGGTAGGAGGACACTGACCTGGGACTCACAGAGCCTAGTGCTGTACAGGTAGGAGGACACTGACCTGGGGCTCACAGAGCCTAGTGCTGTACAGGTAGGAGGACACTGACCTGGGACCCACAGAGCCTAGTGCTGTACAGGTAGGAGGACACTGACCTGGGACTCACAGAGCCTAGTGCTGTACAGGTAGGAGGACACTGACCTGGGGCTCACAGAGCCTAGTGCTGTACAGGTAGGAGGACACTGACCTGGGGCTCACAGAGCCTAGTGCTGTACAGGTAGGAGGACACTGACCTGGGACTCACAGAGCCTAGTGCTGTACAGGTAGGAGGACACTGACCTGGGACTCACAGAGCCTAGTGCTGTACAGGTAGGAGGACACTGACCTGGGACTCACAGAGCCTAGTGCTGTACAGGTAGGAGGACACTGACCTGGGACTCACAGAGCCTAGTGCTGTACAGGTAGGAGGACACTGACCTGGGACTCACAGAGCCTAGTGCTGTACAGGTAGGAGGACACTGACCTGGGACTCACAGAGCCTAGTGCTGTACAGGCAGGAGGAGAAAAGGATAGATTTTTGGGTTTACCATTTGTTTGAAATAGGAAATAACCTTTTCCTCTACTAATTTGCATTTTGATGATGATACACAAATGAATCACATAATCATTATCAAAATCTCAAATGGCTTCCCCATTCTAAGAGCACCAGTGGATGTTTAGGATAGCTGTGCCGTTGCGCTCTTTGTACATTTGTTTTCTCACTGATCAGTTTATATTTTGATGCAAGGTGTGGGTATTTTGTTTTTGTCCTCACTGTGACATGCATGTGTTTGTACAGGGAAAACAGGTCTTCAAGCAGCTGATGGAACTTGAAGCAAAAGGAGTGAAACTTCAGATTACTGTTAATGGTCCTCGGACTGATACTCGAGACACGGCGGATTTATCTAGAACAGGTACATGAAGCAGCTCTGTTGCCACGGCGGGTCCCTCTGGCGTTGTCTCATGGGATTTGTTTTTCAGGTTATGCATGTGTTCTGGAAATGACTTGCAAATGGACTGTATGCGGTTGTCTATCCTACCTTAGTTGAATGTAGTGACTGTATTCGCTCTGGATAAGAGCGTCTGCTTAATGACCTAAATGTAAACGCCAATGTTAGAATGTCTTTCAAACAATATATTTTTAAGGTTGCTTGTTATGTGTCTAACCTCTGCTTCCCTTTCTGTGTTCAGATGCAGAGGTACGGGAGGTGGATCTCCAGTCCGTGACAGGAGGTATCATCCACACCAAGCTGTGGGTCGTGGATCAGAAACACCTCTACCTGGGCAGTGCCAACGTGGACTGGCGGTCCCTCACACAGGTACATCCCAAAGTACTGATAGAATACCGTCCTCTCTGGGTCAACAGCCTGAAATCTGAACTGATGAGCAGGGAAACTGGTGAAACAGCATGTCAGTTTGTAGTCCAGGCTATGTAAAATATGAGCCATTTTAAGAATTGATGCATCTCCTTATCGTATATCTTCCAGTGCATTGATCGATTTGATTGATTGATTGATTGATTCACGATTGATTGATAATCTCTGAGCATCTCAGGTGAAGGAGGTAGGAGTTTCCATGGAGGACTGCAGCTGCCTGGCACAGGATGCGTCAAGGATTTTCGAGGTGTATTGGAACATTGGTGCTCAGAAAAATGGTTCCCTACCCCCCTTCTGGCCTGCCCGATACTCTGCCCTCTCCAGCTCCGAGCACCCCTTGAATCTCAAACTCAATGGAGTCCCCGCACGAGTATATCTCTCTGTGAGTTGGATCTTCTAGCTTACTGCATCCCAAATGGTACCCTATTCCCTACATAGTGCACTACTTTTGACCAGAGCCCTATGGGAGGAAGTGGTGTCATTTGGGACACAATCTTTGACTACCTAACCCCTTCCACTCATATTTTGCATAATGCTACTGATAGTTTATTTTTTAAATTTTTTTTACTAATTTTTTTTCAGAGCGCTCCTCCCCAGATATCAGCTTATGGACGCTCAGACGATCTATCCACCATCCTCTCTGTCGTCGCAGACGCCCAGAAATATGTCTACATCTCAGTCATGGACTATCTTCCAATGTCCCAGTTCACTGAACCACTCAGGTGACTGTCCGTACTCGGGCGAATCCTAACTTTCCCATTGACGTCAACGCCTGAGTGAAAATTCTCCTTAAGTGGAAGTTAGCATTCGCTCCTTTTAATGATTCTCTAACGTTATGTAACAGTGTATCACATGTTTTCATTAGGACAGTTATTGGATGTATGTTGTGTATCTGTTTTAAACATCTAACCAATCAGGTACATGTATGTATTAGGTTCTGGCCTGCGATTGACTCAGCCATACGGGCAGCAGCGTGTACTAGAAGGGTAGAGGTCAATCTACTAGTGAGCTACTGGTCACGCTCTCCAGGCTCCATGTTTCTCTTCCTACAGTCTCTGACCGTCCTCAACAGATCTCCACTGGGATGCAACATCAATGTGGTACATATGCTGTTTTCATTTCTCCACTTTTTTTTTGTATACCATAAACATACTTGTAGACAGCTGAAGCAAGCAGTTTTCTTCAGGAAATGTACCTTTTTCTAGTTGTGCATTCGGTTGTTGTCATTAATGTCCTATTTCCATGATGTGTCCTACAGAAAGTATTTGAGGTGCCTTCAACAGCAGAGCAGAAGAAGATTCCTTTCTCAAGAGTGAACCATGCCAAGTACATGGTGACAGACAGAGTCGTCTATATAGGTACTGCACATCACGATCACTACTCATTGGACAAAATGTCTGTTGTTTTTATGGATTTATTCTGCTGCAAAAACCAACGTCTGCTGTTTTTTTTTTTTTTACAATTTAACATCACATTGCACATAGCAACTTTGACCTGCCATATCAATGCACTAACTTGTATCTCGTATTGTGTGAACACAGGAACCTCCAACTGGTCAGAGAACTATTTACACCCACACTGCAGGTGTTGGGCTGGTGGTGAACCAGACAGGTTCTGTGGTGGGAGAGGGCCAGAGGAGTTTACAGACCCAGCTACATGAGGTCTTCTTAAAGGACTGGACGTCTCAACACGCCCAAACCCTTTCCAATGGCGACGCCAAACGCTGTGGTAGATGACGCTAACGGTGATTTAACCATGGTTACATCCCTATATATAGGGCACTACTTTTGACCAGAGAAAATAGTGCACTACGTAGGGAATAGGGTGTGTGCCATTTGGGACACATGCCCATATTCGTTTTTTAGATAATTGTTTTGACATATACTTTCACTGGCGCTCAGAATGCTGCCTATCACAAGAGCATGCACTCTGTTACATGACAGCATTTGACTGTATATATTTGCAATTTTTGGTGTATACATATTTTCTACTTGAGATATTTGCTGTAGCTTTTTTTTTTCTTCTGAATGGAAGTGTCAATATTGAATGAATCTTGAAGCTCTGTTTTTTTTAATCAATTTATTTTGCTTTGACTGACTGACACTGTCAGTGACTCGAGGCATGTGTTGTCTATATGGGAAAAGACTGTTGACCTGTTAGTGTCATGCCTGGTGCATTTTGTGTTATGTCATTTGTTGATACTGTTTACAACCAAAGATGTTTCAAATTCATTCTTGTACATTAAATTAAATATTTGTTATTATTTTTAAGCCCACGAATCCTTGTCTTTTATCATAATCAGTGATCACATTATTTGGATCAAAAAAGCTGTAGTGTTTATGATCCAGTCTGTTTTAAGCTGATGAGAGATACACAGGGCTTTTATTTTGAAATCCGACGTCACGGGAATCTTCTGCTCCGGAAGTAAAACTTTTTCCAGAAGTCAAACGTTACAATCTTCCTGTGATTTGCCGCTGGACTTAATAATTTAGAAAATATTCATTCCCTTCTGATAAATTAAACAGAAGACTACAATCAAGGAAGAGTGAGCGGGAAATCATGTTTTATCATGTAAGATGTTCGATTTGTATGAAATTGTGACGATAACAAACATCACCATGTCTAACTATGCTAGTGCTAGCTTTGTTAGCCGGTTGGCTAGCTATCTAGCTAACTGCTCTCTTAACTGACTTTTCAAAATGAAAACAAAATCAACGTCCATAATAGTTCTGCGTATTTAACGGTTTGATACCTGTCTGGTGATGATAGTTTGTTAAAAACAGCTGTGAATCAGATAACTAAATGTTACTTAGAGTAAGTGCTGGCATTCTCAATGATAAACCGTACGACTGTTGTTCAGTACTAAATTACCTATTGTAAAAAAAAAAACACTAACTATATATATATATATTTTTATCATTCACAGATTTCCCTGGAGCATGAGATTCTGCTCCACCCTCGGTACTTTGGTCCCAACCTCCTGAACACTGTGAAACAGAAGCTCTTCACAGAAGTGGAGGGAACATGCACAGGAAAGTGAGTGGTATTGAGCCAGGGCAGCTTCCCTTTCATGATCCTGGAACCCACACTCAGTATTGTTAAGTGCAGTGAAACTAAGGGATATTCAGTGCTACATTTCAATGTAGAATAGAGACCACATATTGTCTTTACAGTTTGCACCCTTTCACAACACTGGGTTGGTTGTTTTGACCTGTAACAAGTTGAGTTGCTTGCTCAGTTAATGATGCTAACTCTGTTTCAGATATGGATTCGTCATTGCGGTGACCACCATTGACAACATTGGTGCAGGTGTCATCCAACCAGGCAGGGGATTCGTGCTTTACCCTGTCAAGTACAAGGCTATTGTCTTCCGTCCATTCAAAGGCGAGGTGGTAGATGCCGTGGTTACCCAGGTCAACAAAGTAAGGAAACAAAACAAAGGTTACGTCCCAAATGGAAACCTATTCCCTATATCAGGGATCATCGCTAGATTCAGCCGCGGGCTGATATTTTTGTTGTTGTTGAAAAAACAAACAAAATTAGTTTGTAGACTGCAAATTGACTTCAAGAAACCCAAACAGATTGCAAAAGTATTCATCCCCCTTGGCGTTTTTCCTATTTTGTTGCATTACAACCTGTAATTTAAATGGATTTTTTGGGGGGATTTCATGTAATGGACGTACACGAAATAGTCCAAATTGTGCGTGCATATGTATTCTCCCCCTTTGCTATGAAGCCCCTAAATAACATCTGGTGCAACCAATTACCTTCAGAAGTCACATAATTAGTTTTAAAAAGTCCACCTGTGTGCAATCTAAGTGTCACATGATCTGTCGCATGATCTCAGTATATATACACCTGTTCTGAAAGGCCCCAGAGTCTGCAACACCACTAAGCAAGGCGTACCACCAAGCAAGCGGCACCATGAAGACCAAGGAGCTCTCCAAACAGGTCAGGGACAAAGTTGTGGAGAAGTACAGATCAGGGTTGGGTTATAAAAAGATCAGAAACTTTGAACATCCCACGGAGCACCATTTAAATCCATTATTAAAAAAATTGAAAGAATATGGCACCACAACAAACCTGCCAAGAGAGGGCGGCCCAGAGGGCATTAATCAGAGAGGCAACAAAGAGACCAAAGATAACCCTGAAGGAGCTGCAAAGCTCCACAGCGGAGATTAGAGTATCTGTCCATAAGACCACTTTAAGCAGTACACTCCACAGAGCTGGGCTTTACGGAAGAGTGACCAGAAAAAAGCCATTGCTTAAAGAAAAAAAATATGCAAACACGTTTGGTGTTTGCCAAAAGGCATGTGGGAGACTCCCCAAACATATGGAAGAAGGTCAGATGAGACTAAAATTGAGCTTTTTGGCCATCAAGGAAAACGCTATGTCTGGCGCAAACCCAACACCTCATCACCCCGAGAACACCATCCCCACAGTGAAGCATGGTGGTGGCAGCATCATGCTGTGGGGATGTTTTACATTGGCAGGGACTGGGAAACTGGTCAGAATTGAAGGAATGATGGATGGCGCTAAATACAGGGAAATTATTGAGGGAAACCTGTTTCAGCCTTCCAGAGATTTGAGACTGGGACGGAGGTTCACCTTCCAGCAGGACAATGACCCTAAGCATACTGCTAAAGCAACACTCGAGTGGTTTAAGGGGAAACATTTAAATGTATTGGAATGGCCTATTTAAAGCCCAGACCTCAATCCAATTGAGAATCTGTGGTATGACTTAAAGATTGCTGTACACCAGTGGAACCCATCCAACTTGAAGGAGATGGAGCAGTTTTGCCTTGAAGAATGGGCAAAAATCCCAGTGGCTAGATGTGCCAAGCTTATAGAGACATACCCCAATAGATTTGCAGCTGAATAAGACTTGTAGCTCAGTTGGTAGAGCATGGCGCTTGCAACGCCAGGGTTGTGGGTTCGATTCCCATGGGGGGCCAGTATGAAAATGTATGCCACTCACTTAACTGTAAGTCGCTCTGGATAAGAGCGTCTGCTAAATGACTAAAATGTAATTGCTGCAAAAGGTGGCTCTACAAAGTATAGACTTTGGGGGGGTGAATAGTTATGCACTCTCAAGTTTTCTGTTTTTTGTCTTATTTCTTGTTTGTTTCACCCCCAAAAAATATTTTGCATCTTCAAAGTGTATGTTGTGTAAATCAAATGATACAAACCCCCCAAAAAATCCACTTTAATTCCAGGTTGTAAGGCAACAAAATAGGAAAAATGCCAAGGGGGGTGAATACTTTCGCAAGCCACTGTATATTTCACTAAAACACAAGAATTTCAAACCTTGCTTACATTTGTATACGGTCCCATATCTCTTTATTATGCATGGGAATATTTTGGAACAGATTTCCAAAATTAGAATCACTTGATTTGCTGGTGTTTTTTACATTCTTATGTCCAACAATTAAAAATAAAATATAACACTTGGGGGCGGGATAAATAAAATCACCCGTGGGTCAAATTCAATGTTCTAGGTACAAAAGAATAGGTACAAAGTTTTTTTTTTAAAAAAATAAATAATATACACAACATTTACTGTACCAAGACCTACAGGATGTCTTAATGAGAACATTCTGAGAGGTTGCATGAAAACATGGAGTGCTGACACTCACCTGAGTGGTTCAATGAACTGGGACAGTGGAAGATAGTCCATGACTGAGATGTAGACGTATTTCTCGGCGGGGTGGATAGATAGTCTGAGCGTCCATAAACTGATACCTGTATCTGGTGTGGAGCACTCTGAAAGAATGGGACAGTTTATTTAACTATCAGAAGCTTTATGCAAAATATTAGGGGAAGGGGTTAGTTATTCAAAGACTGTCGAAAGATAACACCCTGTTACCTTTTTATAGTGCACTACTTTTGACCAAAGCCCATAGGGTGCGATTTGGGACACAGATCTTCTTTGATCTCATTGCAATCTGAATAAGGCTTGACAAGAATAGATCATATTGTTTTCATGGTGTGGTGAAATTAAAACAAGATGTTCTGTTCTTTTCAGGTTGGTCTGTTCACAGAGATCGGCCCCATGTCCTGTTTCATCTCTCGTCATGTAGGTACACATGGAAATGTCTCTCTTGTTGTTGAACGGTTTTATTGATAAACTCTTAAATGTCAACTTGGTCACATTCTGTTTCTGCAGTCCATTCCCTCAGAGATGGAGTTTGACCCCAACTCAAATCCTCCTTGTTATAAGACAACCGATGAGGTAAGACTTAAAACTTGCGCTGCTCTTCACTAAATAGTTGTTGTCGTTTTTGAAAATGAATATTTAGTGAACATAACTCTTGGATACATTTCCTCTTATTAAGGATTCTGTCTTCTCCCCATTAGGACATTGTAATCCAACAGGATGATGAGATTCGGTTGAAGATCGTGGGAACAAGAGTAGATAAAAACGACATTGTGAGTATACTGTCCAATCACCATCAACTAAGAATGCTACCTGACAGTACACTGTCCAATCACCATCAACTAAGAATGCTACCTGACAGTACACTGTCCAATCACCATCAACTAAGAATGCCACCTGACAGTACACTGTCCAATGACACTGTATATCCTCACAGATTGCAGGCCACCGCTAGCTATCTAAAGTCGGAGATGTTTCCATATAGTCTCATCTCTATAAAGAGCCTGCGAGTTGTAATGTTGAATACTTGCTTTCTTCTTTTTCAGTTTGCCATTGGATCCCTCATGGACGATTACCTGGGTACGTTGGAGTTGTTGCTTTTATTAGTCTTCTTTCATAGTTGTCAAAGAAATGTTTGAAAGATTGAATTGATATGTAATTCGTTTTTTTTTTTCTCTGTTTCTCAGGTCTTGTCAGCTGATGTCCCTGCAGTGCTATGCTGTGCATCAACATACTAATCTCATATTTCATGCAAATGCCCCTACAATTCAGTACAAATATTTTTTTATAGGTTGATAATGTGGTATTGCTGCACATCGTCAAGTCCTGTACTTAATGGGGAAGGATCAATGATCCTTTGACACAGTATGAATACATACTATTGAAACCACACAGAGCCTGTTGATAAGCAGGTGGTTATGTTGCCGTATTAAACGCTACTGTATCGTCTTGAGTTACCCTTCAGATGCTGTTGTACATTGTACTTCTACAACTTGAGAACTTAAATAAATGTTGTTGTTGTTTTTTTGATGATGTTGACCTTGTCTCTATTGAATGTTCTGTCATTGTAGAATATGTTTTGCCTCGAGGTTTGCATGTTGGGCTTTTTAAAATTATAATACACACAAATAACAAATGGGATACAGAGTTATCCATCACATTGAATCAATGGAAATTCATTGAAACCTATTGAGAGAAAATGTAATACCTTTTATTGTTGAAATGCAAAATCGTGCACACTTATTATAAATTGTCGGCACACAGAGTCTATATTTTGTTATTTGGACAAAATGCCATTTATTTTCAGTCAACGTTTGATTTCAGCGACGCGCCCAAACAGGCAGTAAATACGTCACTGGTGTGCGCCCTCCTTCTTCCTTTCTCTCGTCCTAAAGATGGCGGCAGGGGTGAGTAAACTGGAGAGATGCTTTGTCACAGAATCTTTACTTGCGTTTCAGCAACCATCTGTACAAAATCTGCCCCATCCGTCCCCTTATCCACTACCCTTTAGTGCATCTGAAATATTTAGCCCCTTTAAACTTCATTGCCATGTTTATTTGCACCCCTTTCGTAGTCTTTCTTGACGGTGCAGCATAATAGCTTTGGTGGTGGTAAAATGACGCCTCTTTCCGTGCCTTGTGCCACGTTGGGTTCTTCACAATTCGTGACGAGTAATGAATGATAATTCTTTGTAGTTAATTGTATACCTCCTGCGTGTCATGGCATATTTAGAGCTTTTATTTGCTAATCAAAGCATCCAAATATTGCCATCTGGAGTCTATGGGTAGTTTACTTGTGGCTAGCTGGCTAACTACACTGAACAAAAATATAAACGCAACATGTAAAGTGTTGGTCCCATGTTTCATGAGCTGAAATAAAAGTTCCCCGAAATTTTCCATACGCACAGAAAGTGTATTTCACTTAAATATTGTGCACAGATTTGTTTTCATTCATGTTAGTGAGCGTTTCTCCTTTGCCAAGATAATCCATCCACCTGACAGGTTTGGCATATCAAGAAGCTGATTAAACAGCATGATCATTACACAGGTGCACCTTATGCTGGGGACAAAACGGCCACTAAAAATGTGCAGTTTTGTCACACAACAATGCCACAGATGTCTCAAGTTGAGGGATCTTGCAATTGGCATGCTGACTACAGGAATCCACCAGAGCTGTTGCCAGTTTTTTTTGTTGACATGTTGCGTTTATATTTTTGTTCATTATATCTTATGAACAGATTTTATGTCTGTGGGATTCGAGAAGAAAGATGACTAGTTCAGCGGTGAGCCTGTCAGTTAACCTTAACTCTCGCACAGCATCCAGCCTCGCTGACGTAATACTGTTTTCCTGATTTTTGACCACTTAATCAATGGAGGCCAGGGAAAGAAATAGTCATACTAATTTTGATCATCCTACAAGGGTAAAAACTCCCAATAACTTTTGTTATATTATTTGACCTATTGGTTAAAAGGTGTTTTTGATTGAACACTCTACATAGCCTACTGTTAGAAACCCATAGCTACTAGTGATACTAATAATTGTTCCTGCCTAAACCACCACCTGGATCTAGATGGACTGCTGTGTACCGGGGTTTTCTCCCCCATTTTAATGTCGTTGTGATGGTTCTCGCTCCTCCCTTCCACAGACACTGTACACGTATCCAGAGAACTGGAGAGCCTTCAAGGCTCAGATTGCAGCCCAGTACAGTGGCGCACGCCTCAAGGTGCTGCACGTTTTAACCTGCCTTATCATATGTATTTATTCTTATTGTCTTGTGATTGTTTTTAAATGTTATATATATATATATATATATTGTTTGTTTTTACTATGGCTGTAAGGTTGATAAACTAAGTCTGCGTTTACACAGGCAGCCCAATTCTGATCTTTTGCCACTAATTCGTAATTTGACCAATCAGCTCTTTTGTCCATAAAATAAAAATATCAGAATTGGGCTGCCTGAGTAAACACAGCCTAATTTACTCTTTGGATTTAATAAAGTATCATCTCATCTCTCTAAGGTGGCCAGCAGCGCCCCTGCCTTCACCTTTGGGCAGACGAACCGTACCCCCGCCTTCCTCAGCAACTTCCCCTTGGGCAAGGTCAGTTTCTGCGTCCGTTTTTGTAGCGTCTTAAATGGCACCCATTCCCTACACAGTGCACTGCTCTTTACCCCAGGACCCTATATTGGGAATAGGGTGCAACTTGGGATACAGCCATGGTTTACATTAACATTTAAGTCATTTAGCAGACGCTCTTATCCAGAGAAACTTACAGGAGCAATAATGGTTAAGTGCCTTGCTCAAGGGAACGTCAACAGATTTTTCACCTAGTCTGCTCAGGTATTTGAACCAGCGACCTTTCTATCAAATCAAACTTTATTTGTCACATGTGCCGAATACAACAGGTGTGTAGACCTTACAGTGAAATGCTTACTTAGAAGCCCTTAACCAACAATGCAGTTCAAGAAAGATTTGAGAAAATATATACCAAATGAACTCAAGTAAAAAAATTAAATAAAAATTAACACAATAAAATCAGAATAATGAGGCTATATGCAGGGGGTACCGGCCCACCGCAAGGCTACCTGTTTACCGTGCACACATCCTTAAACTTTGATGATAATATTTTGTATTGTGGTAGTATGTCTATATTCCCAAAATAGTTTGTATGATGCAATGTTTTTAATTTCTTCACTTGAAATATTCATGAAGTTTTATTGAGCTTTTTTAACCCTGAGCATCAGATGTGAACATTGAGTATTTTAAGACTTCTGTGTTGAACGTAGCCTGATCCCAGACCTGTCTGTGCGGCAGGTAGCTTAGTGGTTAAGAGCCTTGTGCCAGTAACCGAAAGGTCGCTGGTTCTAATCCCCGAGCCGACTAGGTGAAAAATCTGTCGATGTGCCCTTGAGCAAGGCACTTAACCCTAATTGCTCCTGTAAGTCGCTCTGGATAAGAGCGTCTGCTAAAATGACTAAAATGTAAATGTAAATGTGCTGTCATATCAACTCCTTGTCATGCAAAACATGTGAATGAGTGGCAGGATGGCATAGACTAGTGCCCAAGCTAGATTGAACGTGGGTTTCATATCAATGCTATATTTTCCCATAAATACATTTAGTTTTTGTTTCCGCACATCTAGGGACAGGTGTTGAAAACAGACTCGAGCTAATCAAATACATTTACATTTTAGTCGTTTAGCAGACGCTCTTATCCAGAGCGACTTACAGTTAGTGAGTGCATACATTTTTCATGCTGGCCCACCGTGGGAAACGAACCCACAACCCTGGCGTTGCAAGCGCCATGCTCTACCAACTGAGCTACAAGGGACTACATCTGGGCGGCAGGTAGCTTAGTGGGTAAGAGCGTTGTGCCAGTAACCGAAAGGTCGCTGGTTCTAATCCCTGAGCCGACTAGGTGGAAAAAAATCGGTCGATGTGCCCTTGAGCAAGGCACTTAACCCTAATTGCTCCTGTAAGTGGCTCTGGATAAGAGCTTCTGCTAAATGACTACAACAACAAAAATCGGACTACAAATGACTGAATCTGTTTTCCTTTTTAAACCGCCTCCCTCATCAGGTTCCAGCCTTTCAGGGCGACGACGGCTTCTGTCTTTTCGAGAGTAATGCCATTGCTCACTACCGTAAGTCTGCTTTTCACATCCCGTGTTTTTCTGTTGAGCGTCCCAAATGGCGCCCTATTCTCTAGATAGGGCACTACTTTTGACCAGGGGCCATAGGGTAGTGCTCTACATAGGGAATATGGTGTCATTTGGGACTTGGCATTATGTACTCCAGCCCTTTCCGCATTTTCTGTGGACTAAAAGTGCCTGAAGATGGATCCTTTTAAGACGGTGGTGGCCAGCTACCCTCGTGGAGGGTTTGGTTTCCAACTGCCCTAATTGAACGCCTGATTCTACTAATCGGCTGCCAATCATGAACTTGGTTGGTTGTATCGGGTGTTGCATCCCCATTTCTTCCAGTGTACACTAGCACACTTTTCTCACATGGATTTAACAAGGTTGGAGAATCGGGCGTGTTTAGCCAGTATCTCTCCCAGAGGCCTCATTTATCAATATCTAATATACATAGCTAGATCTGCTATGATGAAAAATGCATACACAAAATCCATCTAAGATTTATTACAAATCTTTTAACTCTGTAGTTGTTATGCAGACATTTGTCAGCGAGGCTGAGCCTTTAGTGACCGTCCTCTCCTGTAGTTTCGCCGAGAGAGTAGGGTTGGGCTGTATACAGGATGGTTTTCATACACGCCGTCGATATCATTGAAACTATGTCTTTGGGAGTTTTTGAATAGATTCCAATATTTGTAGGTACTTTTTAAGTAAATACCTGCTGTCAACTTGTGCAAATACGTTAGGGGATAAAACAGAGCGGGTTATTCATTTGGCCTGTCACATCATTATTCATTATGAAGGGTTACCGTAGTTCCCCAGAACAGCAGCGTAGTCACCATGTTTTGTTGTAAAGATGGGAGAAAGCGGGAGCTGGTGAGTCCGTTTAGTGTTCTATATCTGTCAGTGAGTCTCTCTGTTGTGTGGCGCACGTGAGGTGAAGTAATTCACTACTGAATGTTTCTCATCAGATATCTTCTGACTGTCTTAAGATGTGCTATACTCTCCAGCTGCGTGGATTTGGTTGCTTTCTTGTTATTAATTCAGCCACTCGGATAACTAAGGAGACACGGTGTGCTTTGTTTTAGAAGTCAAAGGTCTCTGGATGTGTACAGCTGCCATTTTTCCCCCATGTGTTTCTCACTAGTGTTTTGTACCCTGTTTCCCACTAGTGTTTTGTACCCTGTTTCTCACTAGTGTTTTGTACCCTGTTTCCCACTAGTGTTTTGTACCCTGTTTCCCACTAGTGTTTTGTACCCTGTTTCCCACTAGTGTTTTGTACCCTGTTTCCCACTAGTGTTTTGTACCCTGTTTCCCACTAGTGTTTTGTACCCTGTTTCCCACTAGTGTTTTTGTACCCTGTTTCCCACTAGTGTTTTGTACCCTGTTTCCCACTAGTGTTTTGTACCCTGTTTCTCACTAGTGTTTTGTACCCTGTTTCCCACTAGTGTTTTG